GAAATCACGCCTATCGGGAAATGTGCTGCTGTGTCCACGGACACCCGCTTCGAGCTGTTGTGCGAACAAATGGCGGGATTGACTCAACAAGTCGCGGAGCTTGCAAAGCACAGTTCAACGGCGCATCCTGGGAGATCCACTTTCCGCGGACGGAAAAAGTGGCGCAACTACAGCCGCAGCTCCAGCCGAGGCAGAAACAACAGCCGCACCTCCGGCCCGTCGCAGCCAGGTGTATGCTGGTACCATCGCAGGTTCGGTGACAGGTCAACAAGGTGCACCATCCCCTGCACCTACCCGCAACGTCAACAGCAACACCAGGGAAACGAGATCGATCGACCTTAGATGCGGCAGAAGTTGTCGATCCAGCCACGAGCCGCCTATTCTTAAGTGACAAAGATAGTAAGGTAGAGTTTTTAATTGATACTGACGCCGATATTAGCGTTTATCCGCGAAAATTAGTTAAGGGACATCCTCCCAAAAGTACATACACTTTGTATGCCGCGAATGATTCGACCACCTCAACGTATGGCGATATTGTTTTAAACCTAAATTTAGGATTGCGGCGAATTATCAAATGGAAATTTATAATCGCGAATATCACGAAACCTATAATCGGCTCGGATATGCTTAAGTATTACGGCTTGTTGGTAGATTTAAGGAATAAACAGCTAATCGACACTGAAACAAAATTAACGTCACAAGGAAAACTGGGGATTGCCGATTTAAATTCGGTCAAAACAATTGTCGGTGACTCTCCATACCATAAAATCCTCACAGAGTTCATAGATATCACCATTCCCACACGTACGAAACACAACATTACACAGGCACGAAACACAACATTACACACCACATTAAGACAACAAAAGGACCTTCAGTCTTTTCGAAACCACGTAGGTTAGCACCTGATAAATTAAAAATAGTAAAAGAGGAATTCGAGCATCTTTTGGCCGAAGGTATAATTAGACCTTCGAAAAGCCCGTGGGCTTCGCCTTTGCATTTGGTTCCTAAAAAGGACAAAGGTTGGAGGCCGTGCGGGGATTACCGAGCAGAGCACTAAATGCACGCACAGTACCTGACCGTTACCCTTTGCCTCACATTGAGGATTTTTCTAGTTTATTACATGGCAAAACCGTTTTCTCCAAAGTAGATCTTGTTAAAGCATATCATCAGATTCCCATAGAACCTTCAGACATAGAAAAAACAGCAGTTACTACCCCCTTTGGTTTGTTTGAGTACGTCAATGCAGTTACTACACCCTTTGGTTTGTTTGAGTACGTCAAAATGCCATTTGGTTTGATGAACGCGGCTCAAACATTCCAAAGGTTTATTAATGAAGTATTATTTGGCTTAGATTTCTGTTATGCATATCTAGATGATATTTTAATAGCATCGCGTAACGAGGAAGAACACTTGGATCACATTCGTCAGCTTTTCAATAGACTTCAAAAATACGGTATCATTATTAATCCTGCTAAATGTACATTCGGTCAAACTTCAATAGATTTCCTTGGTTACACAGTTAATAGTAAGGGTACGGCTCCAAATTCAGAGAAAGTAGATGCCATCAGAAATTTTCCAAAACCTCAAGATATAAAAGAACTCCGACGTTTTTTAGGGATGTTTAATTTTTATCGTCGCTTTGTCCCTAACGCCGCAAAATTACAAGTCCCATTAACAGATTTATTAAAGGGTGCACCTGCTCGTGGTAATCCTCGTATTGCCTGGTCGAAAGAAGCCGAACTTGCTTTCACCCAGGTAAAGGAAGCACTTGCTGAAGCGACCCTTCTGGCGCACCCGGTACCTGGCGCTAAGCTTAGTGTTACCGTGGATGCGTCTGATTTCGCAATCGGAGCGGCACTTCAGCAATGGGTGGATGATACCTGGCAGCCTTTGTCCTTCTTTACAAAAAGCCTCTCGTCAGCCCAGCGTAAATATAGTGCATATGACCGGGAATTATTAGCAGCTTACACCGCAGTTCGTCGTTTTAAACACAACCTTGAAGGTCACACATTCACAATTTACACTGATCACAAACCTCTGGTTTACGCTTTCAAACAGCGGCCAGAGCGTTCCACTCCACGACAGTTCAGACATCTAGATTTTATAGGACAATTCACTACAGACATTCAACACATATCAGGGAAAGACAACATAGTCGCGGACGCATTGTCCAGAATACAGGAGATTAATAAACCCGTTGATCTATCGGAATTGGCACAATCTCAACAGGCAGATGAAGAGCTTCAAAGTCTCTTGCTGTCTGAGACTGCCCTTAAATTAAAGAAAATTAGGTTCCCGTTTAAAGATCGCTAGTTGGAAATTTTTTGCGACACTTCTCCTACTGTTCGTCCATATATACCTGCAAACTTACGTAAACGAATTTTTAACACACTACACAATTTATCACATCCAGGAATTAAAGCTACTCGCAGACTGGTTACTACTCGCTTTGTTTGGCCGTCTATAAACAAAGATTGTAATACTTGGTCTAAACAATGCATTCCTTGCCAAAGAAACAAAATTACACGTCACACCTCATCTCCGTTAGGCAATTTTTCATTACCGGTTTCACGATTCCATCATATACACATTGACATAGTAGGACCATTACCCATTTCGCAAGGATACAGGTATTGCCTCACCTGTATCGACCGTTTTACCCGCTGGCCAGAAGCTTGGCCGGTCGAGGACATAACAGCCGAGACAATAGCTAACACCCTTTTAGTAGGATGGATATCACGCTTCGGTGTTCCAGCTATTATTACTACAGATCAGGGTAGACAATTTGAATCTCAACTTTTTAAAGAATTAACACAGTGTCTTGGTTCACATCATATCAGAACTACCGCTTTTCATCCTTCATCTAATGGTATGGTAGAGAGATTGCACTGACAATTAAAATCAGCAATCCGTTGTCATGAGACCGACAAATGGACCGAGGTACTCCCACTAGTCTTATTAGGTATTAGATCAACTTACAAAGAAGATTTGCATGCAACTCCAGCAGAATTAGTATACGGATGCACATTAAAATTACCGGGAGAATTTTTCAAAAATGATCAAAATAATCCAGTGACATCCGATTATGTTTCACACTTCAAACACACAATGAAAAACATACAACCTTGTAAAGCATCACGACACGGCACACGTACACCATTTATACACAAAGATTTACACACATCAACACATGTATTCATTAGACACGATGGCGAAAAACGTTCGTTGCAACCGCTGTATGACGGACCTTACAGAGTTGTCAACCGTAATAATAAATATTTTACAGTGTTAGTGAATGATCGCGAAAAGAATATAAGTATAGATAGGTTAAAACCTGCGCATGTAGAACCGACTCAACTTGTATGTAGAACCGACTCAACATGTAACGAACAATACTTCTGATACACGAAATGCGAGCGATCAAGCAAACCGTAGTCCTAAGGGTATTCTTAAGAAAGCTGTGCCAATTAAAACACGTCATGGCCGTATAGTTAGATTTACCGAGCGTTATCAGGCATAAGTAACCGATGTAAATAGTTTTTCTTGTCTGTATATAGTTTTTTTTGCGCTCTATCTTGTATTACTGTTAGTGTATTTTTTGTTAGTGTATTCTCATATATGTAAATATGTATGTATGTATATAGACCATGTAAATATTGTATAGCGTTATCACTGGCAAGGGGGTGATGTAGCGGCACATGGTTCGCAGCGTTGGTAGAAATTAGCATTGACCGTTTACAGATGTTTAGGTGTAGGCAGTTAAGCCTACCCTAAAGTCTGTAAGTCGGCGAAATTATTTTATGTTTTTTGGACGTGCGTAGCTCAATAGACTACCCTACCATAAACGCTGCCAGCCATGTCCCGTTACGGTTCATTAGGCCACATGGTCAGCGCGGTCCGGAAGGACATTTTCGACTCTCAAATTCTAATTTACAATACTCTTTCCCCCGTCGAAAATGGGAGGACTCTGCGAGGAAAATAACTCCACCCTCAACTGTGTAAGGAGTTACGCCTTCTCCGAAAAGTTTATATATACTGCGGAAGGGCGTCAAAACAGATATAAACAGTCGAGCCTCCGATTCTGCATCATCGAACATACTATACCGATTCCGTAGAGGACTCTGCAAGAAAAATAACTCCACCCTCAACTGTGTAAGGAGTTACGCCTTCTCCGAAAAGTTTATATATACTGCGGAAGGGCGTCAAAACACATATTAACAGTCGAGCCTCCGATTCTGCATCATCGAACATTCTATACTGATTCCGTAACATTGTATTCAATAGCATTTCTGTAATATCACACATAGTCTCCATAGTTCACATTAAAACACCTTACCTCTTGCAAACACACTGTTGCGAGCAATATTTATCATCATTTCACCTAACCTACCTCGTGACAATAAATAACTTTTCTATTCAACAAATCAAAATTTGAATTGAATAATTAACAAATTTAAATATAACTCACCCATTGAACCGCAAATAATCACGATGAAAATGTATCTCTATCACCGGGTCAATCCACCGATTCTTACTTATAGCATAAATAAATCACCATACAGAAACTCTCAAAAAACGCTCAAGTAACTTCACTGTTATCCTTCATGATTAGTTTTTATTATCACTTTTCTCTCTCACTTTTGACTAATTTTCACTAATTTTTAGTGTTAGTCCGACACGTAAATAGGACGAATGAAAACACGTGAACAAATATTCATAAATAATTTACACTACACTGCTGGCCAAAATTAACGCACCACTTTCTTTAGCTGTTTCTTTCTTTACGTTCTGTTGGAGGTAGGACTTTGAAATTTTGAGGATAGTTGGGCCCATGGGTTATCTCAATGCTCCAGGAGTGCCATTGTTGCCTGCCACCCCCTTGCACATTTTATTTCGACACGTTTCTTTCGACAATAAACGACGACTGTCGATCGACGCCGCAGTCGTTCAACAGATCATCGTTGCATGGCAACCGTTCGCGACATATGCCTCGCGATCGAGAACGAAACCGGAATCCGTGGCCAGTGTAACAATGTCTTCTAATAAAATATGTAATTAAACTTCGATTTCTCAAGTCGGATACTTTATAAAGGGAATATAGCGTATCGTCAAACATACATACATGTATCTATGAATAATCGTTTACGCGTTTTCATTCGGTCCGTTTACCGGTCGTGCTTATGTTGTGCAATTATTAGAAAGAGACAGTGAAATAAATTGAGAGTTTATTGACCCTGCCAGGACATCAGCTGTTGATACTCTGATCGGTGGATCTACCCGGTGACATAAATATTTTTTATCGAAGCTAGTTTTTTCATGAATCAATGGGTAAGTTTTATTTAAGATGTTTTTGTATTTTTAAAATTAAATGTACGCAGCAATTGATTTATTTCATTTCAATGAGGTACTGCATTAGATATTCCATTCCAGTTTTATCCCATTTCATAGTGAAGGTACTCATTCGTTTTGAAACGTGAATTTATTCGTTTGCTTCATTCGAAGAGTCGAAAAATTAATTTTCTTGAATTTATTCTTTTTCCTTTTCGAAGGCGTAAAATAAATACAATATACTTGGTCTGGGTAAACAACAACTAATTGGTTTATCTCTCATTCATGAATTACAAAGAATTTAATATTATTCTTAACTTCTTAATTCATTATTCGATTTAACTTTTACCTAATAGCTTCCTGTTATACCGACGATATACCGGCGTTATACCGACGTGGTATCGATACGCTTGTTCACGATCACGATCGACTGTCATTTTCGAAACTGTCGCTCTCGCTTCTGAGCGCGCAAAATCCTCGCGCTCTGATTGGTCCGTGTTTTTGCTTAATAATTCAAAAACGAAGCTTCAAACCCCATTTTTGCAAAGGAAAATCTTGTTCAGAATGACGTCCTCTACCACCCCTTTCAAGGAGTAACACTAGTTACGGGACACCCTGCATAAAGAGAAATAGAGGTATTTATAATACCTTCGTACGCTGTGTCGACGAAATGCTGGTTCATTATAATTTTGTATTACATATTAGTTGTAATTCCTTAAGAAAACATTTAAAAGCATATGTTCATTTAACATTTTTTTCTCATTTTTGCGTGTAAAACACGTTTGCAAAGTTTGCCTAGAAAAAACTAGGACACCCTGTATATATGTATTTGCATAGGCTAGCATACAACAAAGTAAAGTTCTCCATGTAAGCGTAACATTTGAAATTACAAATAAACATGTTCCGAATTACGTTGTGTTTGGTCTTATATTAATTATGAAAATGACACGTATATTGATGACAGTTTCATTAAAAAAAAGACACAAAAAGGTTTTATTCTTGCAATACAATTGTCTCACCAGTTTCGCGTCAACCGCTCAATCGTGAAGATGTGTAACAACAGTACGGTCGCGTGTGCCTCATATACAGTGCATGGGTGTTAGTGAAAGTGCCACAGTGCACTGGTGTTAGTGCCTTCACAATAATCGGTTCCGTATCACTCGGATACGGAATACAACCAACTAAAATGAAATCATCAACAGATTACCGACAATTTAATGAGGCTTCTGAGTACAGAGGCTCCTCATCCATAACTCTAATAGAGAAAAAGCCAATCCAAAATAATTCAATCCCAGACAGATCCTACGCTCACGCTGCAAAATACGAATCTATTCCTACTAAAGATCAAGCTATTATCCTCAAAGCAATAGACGGCATATGTATTAAAGAATATGCCTGTGCAATAAGAAAAATAATAGGTCCGAAATCAATAAAATTCTTATGGAGAATATCAAACAGCAGAATATGCATCTATTTAGACAAAAAAGAAACGGTGACTCTCCTAACTTCAAACCACAAATCAATAACCATAAATAACAAAACAATTGAAATGAGACCCATGCTGACCAGCCCAGCGAATAATTTCATCCAACGTCTCTCCCATCATATCCAACTCAACAATAGAAAATATATTCAAACAAAGCAATGTTCGACTTTATTAAAAAATATCCCATCTAAAAGCAGGACTGACCGACCCAGAGTATTCACATATATTAAGTTTCAAAAGACAAGTACACGTCAATCCAAAAAATGTAAAAATAATCCCAGACTCAAAAGAGACTTGAGGCTTTCACGGCCCAGCGTCATACAGGTATTACTGTTGAGGCTTTCGGGTGTAAGCCGTGTCCTAAAGGAAGCGAGTTCCCAACGTTTCGCCAGCATTGCAGCTAGCTTCATCAGGGGTTACACTGATACTGGTGCGACAGGTGTTATGTCGCACCTTATATTGCGGTGCGATGCTCACGTTCCGGATCGTTGACTGTTCCGGTTGGTTGCTTGCGTCCAATCAGAAAGTGGGACTTTTTGATTGTGCGCACAATTAAAAACTGGGAAGAGCATGTGCTAAATTGGGTTAATGTGATATCCTGTATCCCGGTTGATGTTGTTCGGGTGTTTCCGTATTTCTATTGCTTCCCTGTGCTTCCGGGGAAGGTAGGCTGATGTTTTTGCCAAAACTTCGGTTTTATCAAACAGGATTTTGTGCCCAGTGGTAATCTGGTGTTCCGCCACGGCTGATTGAATGTAGCCCAACCTGGCGCAACGCTCATGTTCCTTGAGTCTGGTGTTTCACGCTCCTGTCCAGTTTCGCCGATGTATACTTGAGTCTGGTGTTCACGCTGCTCCTCCCAGTTTCGCCGATGTATACTTGGCCGCATGAGCATGGGATTTTGTATACCCCTGGTGTAGACAGCTGCGGCTGCGGGTCCTTGGGGGAGGTGAGGAGTTGTCCTATTTTGGTATGAGTTGTGAAAACAGTCCTAATGTTGTGTTTCCTGAGGATTCTGCCTATGCGGTCGGTCGTACTTTGAATGTATGGCAGGAATGTAGTGTTTACGGCCTAAGTCACCAATAGATCATGAAAAAACAGAAGAAATGCTCAAACTAGTAAACCAAAAAATTGAGCTCCATAAAGAAAAATATATTCTAAACTATATTCAGCTAAAAAGCTTCCTAGAAAATGCTTTCGGATTAAACCACCGACTCGAAATATCCAAAGACTATACAGAAAACAGACCGGCCTTAATACAAATGCTAAAATATCTACCCCCTCCTAAGTTATCGAAGCACAAAAAATCGAATACACAGACTCTGTAAAGAACTCTCCCTTCAATTACCGGACGAACACTCGACTAATTAGGCATCTGATGCTGAATCTGACACATCACAATCATCCTAAACGTCCAAAATAAATATGAAGACAATCTTACAGTGAAGCATCAATGGATATTACGCGCACCTTGAACAACTCTAAATCATACTGAAACGACACAACTCTGACATAGTATGCTTACAGGAAACCAATTTTAAAAAGAACCACTGCTCCGTCATAAAACACCATAATATCTTTGTAAAAAACAGAGTAAACGAAAGCCACGCAAGTGGCAGGGTAGCCATCGCAATATCAGACAAATACTATTTGACTGAAATCCCTTTAACAACCAACATAGAAGCAGTAACAATTTCAGTATCTTTACCACATAAAATACACATCTGCAGTATTAGACATCCCCAACAGCCACCCCTTCGAATTTGATGAACTCGAAGATCTAATTAAACAAATCCCATCACCACGAATTCTAGCCGGTGACTTCAATAGTCACCACGCTCTATGGGCATCATCCAAACTGGATAGCAAAGAGAAAAAGATCGAGAAGCTGTTAAGAAACTCTAATTTAATTCTCTTGAATACAAGAGCTCCAAATCACTTTAACATTAACAATGGACCAACAAGCGTAATAGACCTTATAATATGTAGTACAAAACTAGCACAACATATTAACTGGGAAACCCTAAATTACCTACATGACAGTGACCATTTCCCCATCAAAATAACGTTGGAAAATGATACCCTCCTTCGCAAAGTTCCCACCGACTTGAATGGAACACCAACAAAATCAACTGGGCGTCATACCAAACAATCATATCACACCCGCTTATTGGAAGGGAAGATAACTATGAAATAGACCCAACCAAAATTAATGAAGCAATAAATGAATTCACAGAAATGATCAAATCAGCAGCAATGTAAGAATCTGAAACTCCCCAAACCAGGGAAATAAGAAAGCAAACCGTCCTCTGGTGGAATAAAAAGTGCAATACTGCTCTATTAGAAAGACATCACGCATTTAACCGAGCAAAATAGCACCCCACCAATGAGAATTTAATTGAATTTAAAAAATTAAGAGCTAAATTCCGTAGAATCAGCAAAGAAAGTAAGAAAGAAGTATGGAAAACCTATGTCTCGAGCATAACCGTGCAAACTCCCACTAAAAAAGTATGGGAAAAAATCAATCGCATGAACGGAGGTCGCGCAAAACAGGGGATGCAGTTTCTTGAAACCTGGGTAAATAACTATGTAACGCACCCCAGTAACATTGTAAATGTCCTAGCGGAACAATTCAAACTAAATTCGAGTAACGACAATTATAATCTATCTTTTATAGCCGACAACTCAGATCACGACAAGCTTCTAGAAGAAATCTTACTCCATACTGATGATAACAATATGAACCCTACATTAAATGCTCCAATACCTTTAAATGAAATAATCAGTTCCCTCTCAACTACAAAAAACTCTGCTCCCGGACCAGACAATATCCAAAATAAACTATTAAAATTTCTCCCGAAACCCGGAATAGACCACCTACTGAAAATCTTCAACTGTATCTGGACTCATAAAATCTTCCCTGTTAACTGGAGAAAAGCCAATTGCCCTCACAAATACTATGTGCAAATTATTAGAAAAAATTATTAATAGAAGACTCCGATGGTACCTAGAAACAAATAATATACTAACCCAACTCGATATCGTTTTCGGCAGTATCGTTTCACAATAGACGCTTTAACCAACATACATGTAGAAGCAGACATATGCGATACTTTCCAGAGAAGCGAACATCTTGTAGCTATATGTCTTGACGGCGAGAAAGCATATCACATGATCTGGAAACCTAAAATAGTTAAAACTCTGTCCAAAATAAATATCAACGGGTACATGCTAGCCTTTATAGTGAATTTTCTCACAGATAGATCAATCCAAGTCAGAACAAATGGAACAACATCGAATTCCACAAAAATACAGAACGCAGTTCCTGAAGGATCCGTCATAAGTGTTACTCCCTTTTTAATCGGGATCAATGACATTATAAAAAATCTAAAAGCTCCAATAAAATTTTATCTGTACGCTGACGACCTTATAATAATCTGCCATGGTAAAAACTTAAGTACAATATACAACCTTCTACAAACATCCATAAACCATCTTCACAAATGGTCTAACAAATCAAGCCTCAAATTCTCTTCCCCCCCCCCCGACAAAACACAATGCATCTTCTTTATCAAAAAATCAAAATATCAGACTCAACTAAAGCTACCTATAGGGGAAACTGATCTAAAATTTGTAGATCATATTAGAATTCTAGGGCTCATCCTGGTCAAAAAATTGACATGGGTCCCACATAAGAGACATAAGCGACACATAAGAGACTCTTGCATGAAAAGGCTAAGCATAATTAAAGTACTAGCCAATAGTAGTTGGGGAACCGACCAAGAAATACTATTACAAATATACCGAGCATTAATACGAGCAAAAATTACGGCTCAACCATCTATAATTCAGCAAAAAATGGAACTCTAAAAATAATTGATCAAGTTCATCATACGGCACTGAGAATATCTACAGGCTTATACCACAGTTGCCCAATAACTAGCATCTTATTCGAGGCCAATGAAATGACTCTGGAACAAAGAAGGAAATACCTAACACTTAAATATGCCACAAAAATCTCCACTACACCGAACAACCCGACCTTTAGTTATATCTTTTCCGACAGATTCAGCGAATTATACTCCAAAAAACCAAAGCTCCCATCACCTTTCCGCATTAGACTAAATAAAAT